GGAGACGGTGGTGATGGACATGATCAACGATGGCAGGTGGTGGAGAAAAACAAATACGGCCGTGGGTGGTGGTTGACAAAATCAGAGCCGGCGATAGACAAAATCAGAAAGGCGGTGGTGGTCGTGGACAAAGACAGCATCGAAGATTGCGGTCGTGGATAAAACCGGAATGGTGATCGTCGACAGACAAACCAAGATTTTGTCTGACTATAATCACAGGTGTATATTTTTTCACGTCATATAAATCCAAGTGGGATAGTCAAGTCTCCGCTCGTGTATGTCTAACAAGTCAACAAAATCTTTCTTTTTCTTTTAAAATTACAACAACAAAAAAAATAATCCAACAAGATAATTTTGAGATAATGTTACGCTCAATGATAAAACGATTCCATATTTCTTACTTTGCTCGGGAGAAGCTGCAATCAACATATAAATTATCATATCTTTGTGTGTGTGTTTCTGATGACAAAACTCTGTTTTCTTACAATCAGATGAATACACATCAGAATCATGGAATACATATACAATACTATCGTTTTGGTATGAGTTTTGTGTTGTGTTATTCTCTTTGCTTTGCAAAGACTTGTGATCTCCTCACAGTTTAAGCTGGCTACATCCTTCCAACGACCCGTAAAGAGGCTGAGATTTTCGGAAACCGACAATATCTTCGATTTCTATGAATGGTGATACCACTATCTCTTTGTCTGATGCCATTTGGTTGCTTCCATAAACACATATGCTCAGCGATTGCTTTTTCGGTTCGTCAATCTTTATGTATTCGTTGAAATAATCAATCAATTCTTCCTTCTTTAGCTCTCTCAGTGCAGCCACCTAATCACAAAACAAACCCCCCCAAGAAGCTATGTTAATGGCTTGAACTGTCCTAATAGATAAACACTTTGTTGATGAAGACAAACAAAATTCAGAGCGGTTTTCTTTGTGGTTTTGTCAATGATTACCTCTGCATCGACGCGGTTGAATTTGAAGGTACCACTTAGAATCTCTCCCCAGTAAAACCAAGATTCCTCATACAAGTTCTTGTGTCTCAAGCTTCATGTCTATCAACGCTGTTACATTGCTTTGAGGAGAAGAAGTCATGTTAGTTAAAAATCTTATAAAGGCTTAATGGTGAGACTGTGGAATGTCTCTTTGTACCATATGTTTTAACTTAAGCAAAGCAAATATGATCTATACCTTGAATTCGTCATCACTTATCTTGTAAAGCTTAGTCTCAAGATCCTTGAGTAGTGACTCAACCCTTGAATCAATTTGTCCAGGACCCTATAAAACCATGAACTCAAATGCAAATTAAGGAGATATGCATTAACTATACAAAGTCCGAAGTGGAAGAGAGGCAAAGAAAAGTCGGTACCTTAACCGAAGACTGGATAATGAACATTAATTAATTGAATTAATAGAAGTCTGCCGATAAATGTTTTTCCTGGTCAATGTTTAAGATTTTGGTCAAACGCAATACTAACCCGTCCGTAGACTTCAGATTGCATCTGCTAAAAAAGTCAACAATCTAGTCAATGCCAGAAATAACCTTGGAGCAGACCCTATCTGCAGTCTCCAGTCAGTGTCTCCACTAGAAGTTTGCTCTATAAAGTCAAAGTTCTGGTTAATTGCGAAACTAACCCATTTTCAAATCTACGAGTGTTTTTTTTTATCGAAGGAGAACAAGCAGACTTCACGAGCAGGCTACTATGAATATTTTTAAAATAGTCAATTGCAAATCTAACCTTGCGTTGACTAGCAGACTTCTTATGTAGTTTAGTATCGCGAACCAGATCGAAAAACACGGTTTTCAGCTCCGTTTCCGCCATAGAGCTCGGTTTTCAGCTCTTTCAAGCACCTGAAACTTCTAATATGACCGTTAACAAATAAGTCCAGCCGTCGTTTATGCAAGAACCATTGAAAATCGATAGATTAGGAGAGAAAAAATTTTGAAAACCAAATTTAGATAGTTTTTTGGATGAAATTGGTGAGGGAGAAGTTATGAGCTCACAAATGAAGCTCTTGTACACGGAAAATCAGTTGAAGAATCATTTAGAGCTTGATTTTGGTTGTTCATGGTGGTTAGAAATATTGATGATAATGACATTTTCGTAAATAAGTTGATTTATTTGGGCGTTTGAGTTTGAGTTTTGAATGTCTGATTTAAAAAAAAAACAATTCAAATATAATGGTATTTCTGTAAATACGTTGAATTCTATGGTTGGTTTGCAAAAATTTTGGTGAGAGAGAAAATGTGGTGTATATTTGCAATTGACTTGAATTTGTAGGTTATTTCAATAACCTTCCTAATCTTTTAACCT